TTCCATTGCACCCTGAGCCCCCCGTTGTTGGACCAGCTTCTATGAGTGACTGTAACTAGGAGGGTACACTGCTCAGTTTGCTCCTAGGGACCCTCTCTTTCTATGGGGATCTATAAAAGATGAAATCATACTTTTACCATTTTCCTTTCCTCATTATGTTTTCACTTTTCAAACATGCAAAGAAAAAAGCAAAGAAAGGAAGAAAGGGAGAAAGAAAATAGCTTAGTGGACATTTGTATATCCATTACCAGCCGGGTAGTGGTGGCCCACGCCTTTAATCCAAGAACTCGGAAGGCAGAGCCAGGCGGATCTCTGTGAGTTCGAGGCCAGCCTGGGCTACAGAGCAAGATCCAGGGCAGGCTCCAAAACTACACAGAGAAACGCTGTCTCTAAAAACAACAACAACAACAACAAAAACAAAAACCTTGTCCCTCTGCCATTCCTGTTTAACTGAGAGCAGGAGTACTTGGAGTAAATGATAGATAAAGTATTTCTCAAATGAAATACTTTAGGGTAAGAGACTGTGGTAGTTTGAATGTAATTGGCCCCCATAATCTCACAGGGAGTGGCACTATTAGGAGGTGTGGACTTGTTGGAGGAAGTGTACCAATGTGGGGGTGGGCTTTGAGGTTTCCTGTGCTTAGGATACCACCCAGTGTCTCCTGTTGCCTGCAAGATGTAGAACTGTCAGCTACTCTTCCAACACCATGTCTGCCTGCATGCCACCATGCTCCCCACCATGATGATAATGGACTGAACCTCTGAAACTGTAAGCTACCACCTCAATTAAATGTTTCATTATAAGAGTTGCCATGGTCATGGTGTCTCTTCACAGCAATAAAAACCCTCACTAAGACAGAAGTTGGTATCAGAGACTGGGGTATTTCTGTGATAGGCCAGACCATGCTTTTGTTTGGAGTAATATGGACTTTGGTATGTTGGGTTAGGAAAGCAGTGGAATAGAATGCTTTAAGCACTGCTTAATGGGCCATCCTAGTAGGAGCATGGAAGACCGCGGTGCTGATAATGATTTGAAATGTTGGGAGCTGGCTCAAGAGGTTTCAGATGAGAAGAATTTTAGTATGTTTCCTAGAAATTGTTTTTATGATATTTTGGTGAAGAATGTGGCTGCTTTTTGCCCTTCTCTGAAAGTCTGCCTGAGGCTAAAGTGAAGAGTTTTGTATTAATTCCCTTGGCATAGGAAATCTCAAAAGAGCCTAGTATTGACTCTGTTTTGTGGTTACTAATGTTAACTGTAATGAAGATTTATAATGAAAAGGAGCAAGCTGATCAAGGAAAAGTATTTGAGGAGAAAGGAGCACCAGGAAGTGGAATGGAGCTGAATCCTGTGTTCAAGGAGAAAAACAGATTAAGAAATGGAATAAAGGGAGTGGTGACCTCAGGGCAAGATCACACTCAGCTAAGTTTCCAACTTGTGAA